TGTCTATTTATTGTCTGTTAACAGGAACAATTGTCTGAATCTTTAAGTGTACAGAAACAGTTAATGGAGGAGCTACAGACTGTCAGACAGGTTCGTAGTTGCTGTTTTAAAATATAATTCTGTCGGTTTTTTCTTGTAAACTTGGGTGGGGGGGAGGGAAGAGAAAGGAAGGAGGGCAGGGAATGAAGGGCTGCCTTGGTGTACTTTATGGGGCTGTTTCCCTACTGTGTTACTACGATTTGTCTTACCTTCACATAAAACTACTGCAGTGAAGTAGAAGATGAGGCTTTGCAGATGCAACTCTTTTTGCCTTGGCAAAAGAGAAATGTTGGTGTAGCACGTCATCCATTATCGCTCATAACTATTGAGCAGCTCGTTCCTGGAACATCATGCTAATTAGTAACCCTCTCCATTTCCTGGCTGCTGACTTTTTTTTTTTTTTTAAATACCCTAATGAAGATTAAAATGTAACTTAAAGTACTGTTAGAGTCAGAAAAGTGTCTTTAATAATTTCATTGATGAATTCCAGATTTATGTCCTTTCTGTAACTTATCTCTGAAGAAGGTCCTTTTATGTCCATGAGCTTATTTAACATCTCCCACAGTTATAAAGTGGGTCCAATAAAAAATGTCATTGCAGAAATATTGTTTCTCACCCAAGATATGGTCAGTTTACAAGCCATTTGAAATGTCTCTAACTGTATAAATATCCAAACCGGAGTCTGACATCTAGCTATATTCTGATGCTGACTGTCCATCACTAGCAGAAATAAAAATTTTGCTATGGAAACTTAGCTAGCAGTCTTGCCCTTGATGACGAGCAAAGCAGAAAAGAGCCCTCCTTGATAATTATATTGATTCTTCTATCCTGAGTAATGGCAGGGTTTTCTTTTTCCATAAAATAAGATATTCCTCAAAGCACAGTTGGAGCAGATAAGTTGAATAAAGAGGTTCTGTGCTTCATTTTTTTCTGGGTGTAACTGTTTTTCAAGTGATCTTACTATTTCTGGCTAATTCTATACAAATAAAAATGTAAACAAGTATTTGTATTGTAGTAGAAAAACATGTCTAAACTTGCTTTTGATAAAGATTTATTTGACATGTCTCAAAAAAAAGAAGTATGCTTATGTATATTTGGGTTTGTGTAAGAATAAAATAAAGTGAATTTAAGTATTTCTCACTGCCATCATGTCACTGCTTCTGATTTCCTGGGATGAGAATGGGACTTCCAGTAAACTTTTTCATGTCTCCTAAAATAAGATTTCATATCTATACAGGTTTCCCTCACTTTATGCGGGTTTTTTATGTGCAAATTCGCTCTTACACGATTAAGCTTTTTATACCAAAAATTTGTTATATGCGAGATAAATTCACTTTTATGCGATCGGTGTGGTGGAAACCCACAGTCAGCTGCTTTTTGCAGTGCATTGTGGGAGTGACGCCATAGGCAAAGGAAGCAAAAATTATTTGGGGGGAAGGCTGAACTGGGTGGTGGTGCCCAGGCCAGGCTGCAGCACCAGCCTGTGCAGCCTGGCCCGGTCCGGCTCCGTCAGTGCGGCACCCCAGGAGCTGAGCATCATGAAGCCCCCCAGGAGCAGTGCCCATGACCGCTGCTCAGGGCAGCTGGTGTCTATGCTTCTGGAGCTACAGCTGCCCCGGGAGCGGCACGGTGCCGTGTCAGTACAGTCAAGGGGGTCAGTACAGTTTCCTAGTTTCTAGGATCGGCAGGGACCTGAGCAGATCATTGAG